GTGGGAGGGAGGGAAGGAGGGAGGGAGGAAGGGAGGGAGGGAGGGAGGAAGGGAGGGAGGGAGGGAGGGAGAGAGAGAGAGAAACAGTGACGTGAGAGAGATACCCTGACTGGTTGCCTCCTGCACAACCCTGACCAGGGCCGGGGATTGAACCACAACTGAGGTATGTGCTCTTGACCGGAATCAAACCCACGGCTCTGGTCTGCAGGCTGATGCTCTAACCGCTGAGCAAACCGGCCAGAGCCATCTAGATTTTCTTTACAATTGGATCCCAGAGTGTCAAGGGGTTGAGGGGCCTGGAGGAGAAGGCATGAGGGAGAAGACTGAGGAGCCAGCCAAGGTACTGGCTGCCGAAGGGGTCCCGCAGACGTGTGACCCCGGATACTGAGGCGTGTCCAGTCCAGGAGGAGACAGTGACGCATCCGTCGCCGACCTCCTCGCCTCGCCTGGCAGCACACATGTTCGCACGGACGACGTGCAAGCCCTCCGCCGCACAGGCAAACCGCCCCTTGTTTTCCGCTGAGAGGTGGTTGCTGTTTCTTTTTGCAAAGGATGTGCCCGGATGTGCACGGGGGCCACGACCAGAGATGGGTTCTTCTGAGGCTGACCGTGCGACAGCGAGGACCAGTCTGCGTGGGCAAGGACCAGGGCCAGTGAGGGAGAGCCAGCGGCGGAGGCGAGAAAGGACGCAGTCGGGCCACTCGTCTGTCTGGCCAGGTCACGCAGTCAGAAGGCACCCTGAGGGGGCCCCCGGCCACCCCTGCCCACTGCACTCTTCTCTTGAGCAGGGGCGAGTTCAGCCAGATTCCCTGCTGCGACTTTGTCTCCAGCCATCACCTCAGCCGTGGCACCTGGGAGGCTCGCGGCGGGATAATGACAGACCTTCACTCCCCAGGTGCCAGCGACACTGCAGTAATTGCAGCTGTTGAAGTGCCACCAGAGCGCCCTCGACACCCGCCGCAGGCTGGAAATGTGAAATTGCAAACACTTCTGCAAACATTCAGCAGCGGGTGGGCCGCGTCCACATGAAAGGGAAAGGGGTGTGAGCCCGCCTGCCCTCCTCCCCGGCCAGGGCCAGGGGTCAGCTGTGGGGGGGAGAGGGCAGGGCACGCCTGGGCACTGGGGGCAGAGAATCCTCCGCTGAGCAGGGCACCCCCACTCCTTACTACTTACAAACAGAAAAGGTTACCTTTGCAGCCGAGGGACCTGATGAAAGGCCTTCACCAGATGATCAAATGTAGCATCGCCAATAATGGGCAATCTGGGCAGAGTTGAGGGTAAGCAGGTCCTGCTGACCCCTCGCCCACCTAACGCAATGGACCGGCACGTCCACCTGCACACCTGAGCTAGGTCCAAATCTCGCAGCCCAGGGTTTGAACAGGAATGACCTCCAACTACTGCCTTTCCTTCAAGCAGGTAGCCCAGTCCAACTCCTCCTAGCTGGCAGCCCCACGCCGTCAGCATGTCCTACAAGCCCATCTATCGCAAAAACATTCCTGCAAAACCTTTAGGCAACCAAGAAGTACCTGCCGTACCCCCTCTTTCCCAGCATTGGCAGAGAGAGTCAAGGGTCACTGCCAGCCTCAGGGTGATGTCCAGAGTGCAGGGCAGGAGCCCGATGTTCCACCCTTATTGAAAACAGCCCCAGGAAGAAGAATTTACTTGGAGCCCACTGCATGACTTCTAAGGGCTGTGTTCTGCCGAGTGGGAGGATTGCAGCCCTAATCCCCTGAAGAGAAACTTCTCTCCAGCTCTCCCCACCTCACACTCAGAATCCCCCAATTCCTGGGCCGTGCCCAGCTTCCCGAACACGCCATGCCCCTCCACGGCTCCGCGTCCTGACCTGGGAGCCCCCCACCCCCGGTTCCGCTCTCTCTTCCTGTGGGCAGCCGTCCTCAGGTGCGCCCCGCGTTCAATGCCCTGGTGCGCTGCCCTGCCATCCTTTTTCACGTCACAGTGCCCCCAAAGACGGCACCTTCCATGGCGTGAGGCATGTCTTCATTCTCTCAGCAGCCGGGCGCCCCGCGGAGGGCTGGCTCCGTGCTGGGTCAGTGTATAACGAGCAGGCGACTGAAGGAATGCACGGTCACCCACCGTGGACGCAGGGACGAATGGGCTCTGCAGACGCTCGCTGGGGTAGGGTGGAAACGTGGGGGGAATGGTACTAGTTTAGTCGCAGCAACGCGGTGGTGAGTCACGGGCACCGTATCGCACACAGTCCTGGGAGGCAGACGGATGATGGGATCCTGCCGACGCAAGAATCCCAGAGCCCGCCGGAGCCCCCCCACCGGACTCCTTTGAGAATCTCTTTCTCTGTGCCGAATGAACACCCAAGGTGTGTGGGGAAATTAGACTCCTGCAGAATAACCTCTTTGGGGGAGAGATGTGTTCCTGAAGCAGCTATAAAGCATACAATATTTTTTCCATTTACTTGCAACATTAAATTGAAAATGGGTTCCCGCGAGGAATTTTTTTTTTTTTACCATTCCTTCACATGAAATAAAAACATAAAGAATGTAGAAAAGCTATTAAGATCGCGTACTGAATGGAAAAAAAAAAGAGAGACACTGTTCAGATAACATCAGCACCACTGACCAAAGGGAAGAAATAAAAACAGCAGGAAATCGGAGGCCTTTCCTACAAATACCGCACCAGCCCAGACAGGAAACTCGTCCCCGTCTCAGAGGGGACTTCCGCCCACAGCAGGAGGCCCTGGGGAGTTTCTTCCACTTTGGAAACTGTGTTCCGTTCGAGCGACTCTGCGCAGGAAACACGGAGAGGGAGCTGATGCACCCTTCACACGGCAGCTCGGGGTTCGAGTGCGAGTTCCGCGAGCTCCCTGGCACCCGGGCCACTGCTCCCCTCGTCCGGGTTTGTGGTTGCTGTCTGTGCTCTCCTGGACGCCAGGCTCGCTCCCCAGTCCCGTCTGCGTCCTCTCTGCCTCTCCAGTATCTGCAGTCCCACTTATGCCCTCCCCCCAAGCATCCCCAGGGACGCACCGTTTAAGGCCCCCCTACCTGAGCATTTGGTTACCCTTGGACGTGGACTGTCCTTTAATTCTTTCATGTGTTCCTCCTTCCCCCCTGGTTCTGAGTCCCGCAGTTGGGCCTTCTGTAACCTCAAAGAGCATGCGGCGTGCTGAACAGGGGTTCAGCAAATATTTATGGGTTTGCTACTTATTCGAAAGGAGACGCTTTAACAAATAAGAGACGTGGGGTTTCATAGCCTGTAGGTGTGGGAGTCAGACCTGGGCTCCAGCCCCCACCCCATCACTTTTCCACGGTATAACGGAGTGATTTCCTTCCCTTTGCTCAGCTCACTGGCCCACCTCGAAAATGCGGAGAGTAGTAGTCCTTTGTGGTGGTGTCTGAGGGGTCAATGAAATAATAAAGTCCTCTACACACAAAAAGGTCCAGTCCTCCAAAGTCTAAGTACACAGCAAGTTCTCCATTCTTGGTAGTCAGATCACTGCCAAGCAAACTGGCCCGAGCCACTGGGCTGGGAGGAGGGCCGGCAGTCCCGGAGGAAGGTGCCACCCCCGCAGGGACTGCTCTGAGGGACCTTTGCTCTGTAGTCCTTGTAGGCCTTTTGTGCTGGGTAAGTTTGAGGTCTTTTTGGCTTTTGAACACAATTTCTAGCGAGGAACACATGGATCTATTTTTCACAAATGTATCACGCACTATTTAAAAATGTGACTCCTTTGATACTCAAACTATAGTTGTGCAAGGATGGTACTATCAGGGATGCTGGGTGAAGGGTGTCTGGGAACTGCCCTGTCACAGCTTCTCCTCCCTCCTTCCTTCCTGCTTCCTCCTCCCTCCCTCCCTCTTCCTCCTCCCTCTCCCTTCCTCCTCCTTTCCCCTCCCTTCCTTCCTCCTCCCTCCCTCCCTCCTTCCTTCCTTCCTCCCTCCTCCCTCCCTCCTTCCCTTCTCTCCCTCCTCCCTCCTTCCCTCTCTCCTCCTCCTTCCCCTTCCTCCTTCCTTCTTTCCTCCCTCCCTCCCTTTCCTTCTTTCCTCCCTCCCTCCTTTTTTGCATTTGGACCATAAGCTCTACTCTTTATGGTTGTGTATATTTGTGTTCCCATTAAAACCAAGCAAGGATACGAGGTTGACCCCTGAGAGCTAAACCGTAAGTCTACAGAGTGGCGTATGGCAGGTATGTCAAGTACCTGAGGACATCAGACGGGTCCTGGGCCAGCAAGACTGCTGGATAACTCGATCCAGGGTGTTGATTTACCCAAAGTGGATCTGGGGGGCCAACCACAGGAAAAGGCAGGCTATGGCGGAGCCCACCCAGACACAGCCCCAGGAGGGAGAGTCCTGGCCCACGGACAGGGGATTCCGGTCCCGCGGCTGGGCTGTTTGGGGGAGGTACACGTGGTGTGATCGTTAGAGGCACAGGGTATGGAGCCCAAATGCCTCGGCTCCCATCTCGGCTCCTTCCTCCGACGTCGCAAGCTGCTGAGCTCTTTGTGCCCCAGTCTGCTCTTCTGGAAACCGAGGCCGGAATCGCGTCGTCGTGAGGACGACACGAGTTCATCTACGTGGCGATCGTAGCACGACGCCTGACACAGAGGCGCGTCCACACTCAGTGGTGCGTCCCGTTGTCACTGCCTTTCGACGGACTCTTCGGTCATCACAGCCTGAGCCCACTGACCGTCTGGACCACCCCTCCCCTCGCCCCGGCGCCATGCTCGCTCCCTGCGTTTTGCTTAATTGGCTTCCCTGTCCCTCTGTCACCAGGGGACAATACACTGGCCATGCTGGCGGAGTGCCCCCACCCACGCGGCGGTCAGGACTTGGAATGACATTGAGCATTTGGGAATCTGCGTACAGAGCGGTCTCCTAGACGACGTGCTAATGGGGATCCGTGGCTGAGTCGGATCAGCTCCGAGGCGGCGACAAGCCCCGGTGTCTGAGCCCTGCCTCCGTGTCACCTGACTGCCATCGGAATGCCCGCCGGGCAGCAGCATGCCCGACGCCTCCAGGAGCAGGCCTCACCTGTGACATGCAGCTTCTCATCGGTGACCTCAGCCTTCAGGTAGATGCGGCCCCTCTTCTCGGTGTGGTCCATCCCACAGAGGCTGGGGACGTTGATCACGCATTGCTTGTGCACGTTCATATCGCAGGCTGTGGACGAGAAAGCACAGGGTGAGGCGGGGCGCATGGACCCAGACCATCACTTCCCTCAGTGTTTTGGTTGTAGGGGCGCAAGTGAAAACGAGCTGCCCTTTAACTCGATACTTTGCTATAATGTTGTCGGTGACAAAGAACTGTTAGCAGAGGGCCCTTGCAGCACAGGCCTCGTGTGAGCGACAAGATCCACACCGTGTCTGTCCAGTCTTAACCGAGGAAAAACCCCCTGCCGGGTCTGCTGAGACTGCTTCAAATAGTTAACAGTACACAAAACTCACGTACGTTAGTGCGTACGATGCACAGGCTGATTCATGTCTTACGTACACGGAGGCAAACAACATGCACATTTTAAACAGAAGACGCTTTTTGCTGAAGAATTTCTTACGCCTTCCCAGCTCCCCACTCAGAAAGGGTAAGAATCTGTGGGCTGATTATAGGAAATTCATAAAATTTTCCTTTCCTGAGCTAACTGTATTTTCAAGAAGGCTTAAATACATTGCTTGTGTGTGTGTGTGTGTATGTATGAAAGAACTTGTATCTGATATTTTAAACCTGTCTTCAAATATTTAAATATTATTCCAAGTAAAACAAATACATGCCTGGCATGATATGCCATTCCTTACCAGCTGACATTCCGTGGGCGAGACAGGGGGAGGATAAAAAAAAAAGACTAGTCGCTGCAAGGAACCAAAGACACCGCAGAGAGTCCTGGGTACGGAAGGCAAACAGGAGACTCCCTGTGGGTGTCGCAGCTCGTGGCCCTGGTGCCTTCAGGCCCCCAGAGGGGATCTGGCCACGGGAGCCGTCACGAATCCCCGGTGGGATGCCACAAGGCTCCCCTGTCACCTTCGAGGTGGGGCCTTCACGCCATTTCGTTTCGAGGGTTTAATTTTAACGTGGTGAAACCAAGGGCAGACGGCACAGTGAAGGACGTCTGAGTGCGAGGACTGAACGCTGGAGCCGGGAACATGGACCCAAGGCGGCAGGAACCGGCTGACCCACCAGTGTGGCTTCTGGCAGGGCGTCTCCTTGCGAAGCTAACTGCTCGGAGCCACGTACCTTGATTTAGCAAAGATACAGACTCTTGAAATGATCTTTGAGTGCCTGGGAAGAATTAGAAACTTAAAGGAAGTAAAGGCCACAGCCTCTGGGAAGGGTTCGGACCCAGGGAGGGCCTGGGAGGGGAAGGCGCTCTGGGCTGTGTTCTTGTCTTGGCGTCCACATTAGGGGCTGTCATATCTCGGGAAGCTTATCTGCTCTCTCTGATTCCATTTCCTACTCTGCAAACTAAGAGGCTGCCCGGACAGTGGCTGGGAGGTGTTTGCCAGCACCAGAATTGTTGCAGTATCATGAGCTACAACGTGTAAGGGAGCAGGCAGAGGTTTCTTCCCTGCAGCTGTGAGGGGACGGGTCGAGGTCCTGGCGCCCCTCTGCTTACTCTCCTCCTCCCTCCGGGGGGCACAGGCAGCTGCCCGGGATGCCCTAGCACTCCAAGGAAAGGAGTCTAGAACAAACACAACAAAAAACACTGCTTTTCAGAATTTTTTTTTTTATAGTAATAGGACCCATTTTTTAAAACAAAATCTTAACTGGAATCCTAACATCTAAACCAGAGTAGTATTATTTTATTAGCATACACTTAGTCAATAAATTCAAATTTATACCATTTATTTATTATAAGGACATTCACGGACAACTGACAAAGCCCTCTGAGCCTAATGGAATTCTGAAACCAGCTGTTCGAGATGCTAGTTCAGCCTCAAGAACCCCTGGATCAAAATGCATCTTGTTTAAGTTTCTGCAGCACCGAGTCCCGGCTCCCAGAGAAGAGTGTGCACGGACAGGGCCACTGCTCGGCGCTGGGCTGCCGGACCCGGGCCTCCTCAGCCCAGGGGCCGCAGCAGTGACACCTGCTCGTGCGTCCTTCCCAGGGAGCCGAGCTCCACGTCACCTCCTCTCGTCAAGGTGGAGCGTGACACACATCCAGGGCCTCATCCGTGTTCCCAGGGTGGAAGCAGTTAAAAGGATCTTTACAAATGCACCCCGAACGTGCACTCGGAGACCCCCGAAAACCATGTCCTCGGAGTCCCCGTGTTTCCTGGGACCAGCAGGTTCACCGCAAAGGTTTCGTTAGGCTGTTCAATCCCACAGCCTGGTGAGGGGTGAACCCTCTGTCATGAGAAACTACCCGTCTGTTCTGTCAAGTCCCTGTATCTTTATGTCTATGTGCTGTGTTTCTCCCTGTAAGATCTCCATATATAGCTTCTGGCTGTAACCGTAGTCACTCATGAACGACAATATGCCGATATTTCCAGAACGTTTTCTTGTCTACGAGAAAAACAGACTCTGTAATTACCTTTCATGTCCTAAAAGTATCCATGTTTAGCAAAGCAAATAAACAGCCTGGGAAACGCCTCTCAAAATACGAGAATGATCAGAGAGTTTCCACAGCTGGTCTTCTCCCCTCCTGGCAGGTGATGGAGACACGTACAGGACAGGGAAGGAGAAGGGAGGAGGTCTTCGGTGACTTTATCTCGAACTGGACAGACAGAAACTGGAGCTGCCCATGGACATACGGGGCGGGTGGACTTCAGTAAGAAGCCATCCTGGTTCTTATTCTCATTGTGGTTTCAGTTTAAGGAGAACCTACTGGATTCTTCCACCGACCACCCACTAATTAGAGACACAGGAGAATAATGACTAGGCTTGCCTAGCTTGCTCTGAAGCCTAACCAAATGTGGATCATGTCTTTTTCAACACATGGTGTTTGCTTTGGGTCTTTTTTTTTTTTTTAATCCTCACCGGAGGACACTTTTGCATTTATCTTCAGATAGGGTGGGAGGGAGAGAGGGGAAAGAGAGAGAGAGAAACATCGATGTGAGAGAGACACATCGAGTGGCTGCCACCCACATGACCCCAACCAGGGCTGGAGACAAAGTGCAACTGAGGTACCTGCCCTTAGCGGGAACCGAACCCAGGACTCTCTGGTCTGCGAGCTGACGCTCTAACCGCTGAGCCAAACTGTCCAGGGCTGCTTTGGGATTTGACGAGCCTGCCTTTCACAGTGACTGAAGATTTCTACCACGAAAAACTGTGACAGCACCAACGTGGTTTATAAATTGGGTGCTTTCTCTGGGTTCATAATTAGGCAATTAAGTGGTTGAATAAACCAGAGCTTCAAGGGTGGAAACATCCTACACTTCATCGGTCTGGCCTTGGTCTGAACGAATTCTCACGATGGGCGAGTTCGCGTGGACGCCACCGAACCCGAAGTGCCCGGAAAGCCTGGGCGCGCCCGGAGCCTCGCCACTGACCGGACGAGAGGACGTACTTACTGTCGCATTTCATCCCCTGGTGGATGAGCCCGTACAGCAGCGAGCCGCAGTGGTCGCAGAAGGTGGGGCTCCCGTAGGTGTGGATTTTAAATTTGTGCTTGCTCCTGGGGTCCTGCGGGGAGAAGAAGAGCGCTGCTCATTGCAGTCACGAGAGAACCCCGTCTGAGGGCCAAGCAAGGTCAGGCCCACCCCGGCCCAGCCCCACGTCAGGGCTTGACGGAACCGGCTGCCGTGAGGCCCCAGTCTGCCCATCTCAGGAAGGTGCTGAGATGCTCAATCCACGCACAGCAGTAGGCCCCTCTGCCGAACACATAAAAGCGGAGGGTGGAGCTGAAGAGCTTCCTGTCCCAGCTGGACTGTACGTCCACTTCGTACTCCCCACGTCCCTCTCGGGGCCCGTTCTCATGATATCCCTTCCCCCGAAACGCGCGCTGTGTCCCGGGCAGCTGTGACCACGGGGCTGCCGAGGGAATATGGAAGGGGTGGGCGAGCAGGGTTTGGGGAAGGGACCGAGACCGAGAGCGCCCTCTGAGACGGGTTCAGCTTGAGCGAGCCCCTCGTCGAGGGTTTCTCAAATGCAAAGGTACAAAAAAGATCATCTTGGCTTCTGATGTTCTAAGGTCCTGGGTGCTGGTGATGTGAGGGAATTCCAAAGGCGATTTTGGCTTTTATAAGATAACTGACCAACTGGTTGACTTGGGAACCTAAAATCTAAGCCACATACATGACAATGAATTACTACGATTCCTTTTTAAAGACGAATTCTAAAATTCTGGCATGTTTCGGTCGTGCCACACAACACAGAGAATAGTACGTCGAACGCAGAAGCACCACCAGACCTGATAAATGTTAGCATTACTCCCGATTTTCTGCTGCATGACTCCTGTCCTCCTTCTGCAGAGATGACACTGACCTTCAAAGTCACACGGCTAGTAAAGATCAGAGATGGGATTTTACCACATCTGCGTCTTTTTTTAAAAAATAATCCTCACCGGAGGATATTTTTCTATTTATCTTCAGTTAGAGTAGGAGGGAGGGAGAGAAGAGAGAAACATTGATGTGAGAGAGACACGCCGACTGGTTGCCTCCCGCACGACGCTGACCAGGGCTGGGGACCAACCCCAACCAAGGTATATGCCCTTGACCAAAGTCGAACCCGAGAATCTTTGGTCCTCGGGCCGATGCTTCAACCGTGAAGCCAAACTGGCCAGGGCCCACTTCTGTGCCTTTAACACTGATTCCCATTCAAGAACTCTCAGAAATCCACTCAGAATGAGGCTCTGGTCCTAACATCTTTTAAACACATTTTTATATTTGCGACACAACTTTTCCGTTTTTGGAAATGAGAGCACCACCTGCTTCGTGAAAAACTTTCCCTGGAACCCAGGCTAGCTCCTTCCTGTGCACATTTTCTGTGGCGACAGTGGCAGAGCTGAGTGGCTGTGACAGAGCCCATGTGGCCCCAAAGCCGAACAGTGGGGACCTGACAGAAAAGCTGGCCCGTATCTGCTCTAGGACTGTCTTCAAAGTTTGGTCCCAACTTTGCCGTCACCTGGATCTTGTTGGAAATAAAATTATTTAGCCCACCAGAAGCTCTGCGCGGGGGGCCTCGGGTCTGTCTCCACATGCCCTGCAGGGGACCCTTGTTGGCAAGATGGACTGCTTTAGAAGGTTCCCCAACAAACACTTAGCAGGTGCTGAAGAGATGCTGGTGTCCACATGGACAGATGCTCAACTATTCAACAGTATGCTGGAGGCAGTCACTAGTTCACTAAGTGTCCCTCGGGGTGGGAAAAATCGCGTTTCTCGGGAGATTAGTTTTTCTAGTAAGCAGGGGCTGTGAATATGGTGTGAAGCATGGCTTGGCCTTCACCACTAGTCCTCCAAACAGCCCACCATTTCCCCAAACATCCTGGGTCATCAGGCAGAGTGCCCAGGCACAGGCCAGTGAGAGTATCCATTAACAGTGCCCGCGAGGACAGCGAAGGTTGTGTCCTACCTTGGGCAGGGCAAAGAGGGTACCAGGGGAAGGACACGGCCAGGCTCCCCGACGAAGCGAGGCAGCCACAACAGGTGCTAGGAAAACGAACACGGCAGCGGACACGCAGCCCTCCGGAGCCTGGGCACGCCGGCAGCTCCAGGGCGGCTGCCCTGCCCGTCCGCGGTCACACGATCCCTGTTGACTGGGCGCACGTGTGACTTGCTTCACTTTTCAGGAAAATCTAAGTCTTACTCACTCCACCCCTACATGGCGTCTTTAGGCCCTAACGGTTTGGAGGTGTAGGAAGAGAGAAAACCATCGATTTCGCCTTCTAAGTCCGGAGGATGAGCAAGTCTTGGAGTCCTGCTACTTCAAAATCACGAGCGGCCAAGGATCGTGCTCACGATGACGACGACAACACCTGTTGTGATCACCACCTGAGTGAAGGTGCTTCACCGGAGCAGGGTCTCCCCCGTAAGAAGACCGGTTGCCGGGAGACCGCTGTTCTTACTGGAGCCTGGACACAGACGCAGTGAGTGACCTTGGAAAGGTCATGTCCCTTGTTTATGAAGCAGAAAGAAAACCAGTCTGCCCAGGTGAGCGGCTGGAATGCCGCTTAGCTTAGGGAACATGTAAGGGTGCTGCAACCCGGAAATCCTTAGACAAATACGAGAAGACAACTGCAGTTATATTATCCTTGGAAGGAAGCCAAGGCGCCCGAGGTTTCCCTCACTTCCGTGACGTGGGCCTGAGTGGGAAGGAGGAGGGAAGCTAATTAGCTGCAGTCCTCACAGGTGGTCAGAGCTGACGCCAAGGTGGCAAGAAGCCAGGAGACTTCCTCTGAGGTCCGGAGGTCCTGCCCTCTGCTGGAGACTGGCCTTCCAACACCCCACGGCCTGTGTCCGTTGTATGACCTCCTGCCAACCCCACTGGTGGTGCACTGGACTGACCATAAGTGGCATTTCACGAAGCCCTCCGGTGGTCAGGAGGTGCTTGGGCTGCTGAGGATGCCAGGGGCAGAGGGCACGAGAGGGTGGCCAAGGCTAAAATCAAGTTCAAAAACTAGACTAGATGATCTCGTTGATTCTGCCTTGCTTTCAAAAAGAAAACAACACACTTCTTATTTTTTTATTTTGGAATAATTAAAGACTCATAAGAATGTGCAGTCTGGCTGGTGTGGCTCAGTGGTTGAGCATCGACCCTTGCACCAAGAGGTCGCCGGTTTGATTCCCAGTCAGAGCACATGCCCAGGTTGTAGGCCCCATCCCCAGTAGGGGGCATGCAGGAGGCAACCATTCAATGTTCTCTCCCATCAATGTTTCTCTCTCTTCCTCTCTCTTCCTAGCTCTCTAAAATCAATGAGGCAAAAAAAATTTTTTTAAAGAGAAAACTTGGTTTAAAAAAAAAAAAGAATGTGCAAAAATAGTACTACTATTCCCTATACTCTTCAGCCAGCTTCCCCAGTGGTAACCTGTTATATAACCACAGCACACCGGGAAAGCCAGGGCGTCCACACTGATGCCCTACCATTACTTCAACGACAGACTCTGGGGTTCACCCACTCATACACGCATCATCCCAATGCCTGTGTCTTTACTGAGCAGCCTATACGTTCAGTCACTCACTGTTTACCAGGTGGGGAGTGCAGTCATATTTGCTGGGCACCCATCACTGATTCAGGCAGAACCCCACCAACTTCCTCTTTCCTCTGACCTTCCAGAGCATGTTATTCTGTCTAACACGTGTGCATGCATGCACATGTACACACACACACACACACACACACACCCTGGAGACAGACACTGCGGTCTAAAAGACGGTTCCTAGAGCATGTGGTTGAATTTGCAGCTGGACCAGAACCAAGGCTGATAGTTAAGTTTTAAGCATGAAGTTGACCTCTGAGCTTCCTGGAAACCGAAGCAAAAAGGGAGAAGAAACACAGCAGGTTCCTCTGGGACTGCAAAGCCAGCTGGATGCGGAAATCGTCTTCGCGCCTCCCCGAGTCATTTTGTCTCACACATGCCGGACCTTCAGTAACGCAAGGAACTACTGAATCGTTAGCCAAGCACACTTCTGTCACTGCTCACGGCAGCGTTCTAGATAAAGTTACGGCACCTGCAAGTCAAGTTTGGCTGCACGCAGGGACGAGACAACGGCTGGTGTGCACACCAAGTGCTGACGGCTGCCGAGTTAGTAATATTTCCCCACCCGGTGCGGTACGTGCAAATCCTAGCCTTTACTTCTCCGGACACTGGCAGCCTCTTATTAAGTGGAATATGGGACCTGCCGTCATATGTCACAAGCCTGACATTTATTATCACGAAAGGGAAAACCATTCGGCTCAGATGTTTGTCATGGACACAGTTGTGGGAGAAGAAATTTTTGACTAACCCAATTTTGCATGAATGAAATCTAGCCCACACATCTGAATCTAGACCTTTTAGAGAGAAAAAATAAAGGAGAATTTCAAGCCCTATGGGTAGCACCTGCGAGACGGTTTCTCAACCTTTCCTTTGGAAGGTGGCGGCGTCGTTAACCCTCTTTGGAAACATTCTGGGCCCTTCTACCAGGATGTTCTAAGTCTTGCATCATCAGCACCACCACCTCCGTCGCCATAATTCTGTAATGTGTTAAAAATAAACCCAGAGATCTCCATTGCACTCAATTTTGATGCCGTTTGGGCCTTAAACCACCTGGATTTTAAAAGTGTATTATATACCCACCTGCAAGGGGTATTCTAGATAAGCTGACATTCAGTTTTCGGGGATGGAGAAGCACCTACAACGTGCAATGGAACCGCTAGAGAACCAAGAGCTCGGAGTGTACCGGAGGCAGGCGGCCGCTGATGCTCTTTTTTCTTTCCTCACTTGAGGACATTTTTGCATTTATCCTCAGATAGAGCAGGAGGGAGAGAGAGACACATCGAGTGGTCACCACCCACACGACCCCAACCAGGGCCGGGGACACACTGCAACCGAGGCACGTGCCCTTAGCGGGAACTGAACCCGGGTCTCTCTGGTCTGTGGGCTGACACTCTAACCGCTGAGCCAAACCGGCCAGGGCTGGTGTCGCTCTTTGCCAAGGATGCTGATACCTGAACGGACATCACTTCGTGTGCCCCTTTATTCAAG